CAATGGGCAGAGCTAAGCAATAAGTTAAAAAAAAAATATGTAAAGGGAAGTTAAGCAGTAAGGTGTAGAGCTAAAAAATAAAATGTAGAGTTAAAAGGTAAAGTGTAATGATAAGCAGTTAAGTTGAAAGCTAAGCATTCAACGTTCATAGCAAAAGTAAGTGGATGTTGCTGCATAACCTGGTATATGATACCACAACATTTAGTTTGAAAATGGAGGCCGAGACAGTCACTTCAGCCTTCCTCTGGCTTGAAAACCATCTGTACATTCATGTCATAAGTGTAACTGACTCCCAGAGCATGCTGAGAGAGGAGGAGATTGGTATAGTATGTTCAAAGTGGCATGAAACTCTTCAGAAGTCTCCGGTAGTTAGCTTCTTTTTGGAAATTTCTTCCAGGTCATGCCAATGTTTTGGCAAATGAACAGGCACACAGACTGGCTGGTTCCACAGCACTTGGTGGAGGCACAAACAGATCATCACAGCCTGAGAAGAATGGTCCTATGAGGAGTGACCAGGGGATGGAGTATATGCTCACAATTAAGGGAAAGGTGAGATACAATCAGACTCTTTTGGTACCATCAGAATTAGAACTCTTCACTAGCTGCTGACAAAGGGGTTTGGCGAAGAACTTATTGGAATGTCTCGAGTTTTGTAGTTGTGTGTCGATTCTTAATTTAACATTAAACTATAAAGATTAGGAGTAAACAGTAGAGTTAAATAGCAGAGATAAAGAGTAATGTGCAAAGTTAAACAGTAACTATAAAGTAAAAGGTAGGATTTAACAGTAATGTTTGTATTTTAACAGCAAAGTGAAAAGATAAGCTGTAAAGTAGTAAAATTCAAAGACACACAGTCAAGTACAGAGATGAACAACTGACTGTTTTAAATAACAACAGCAAATCAGTGATGTGTAGAATCAGACAGGTAAGTGTAAAGAAAAGCAGTAAAGTGTACTGTTAAATTATAAAGTCGACATACTAAAGATAGAACTGAAGAGCAAAATGCAGAGTTAAATGGTAAAGTGTAGAATTAAAACATACAGTGTAAAGATAAGCAGTAAATGTAGAGTTTAACACACAAAAAATATAGGGTTACACCAGAAAGTGTAAAGATAAGTAGGAAAATATAGGGTTTAACATTAAAGTTTAGGATTAAACAGTAAATTATAAAATAAGCAGTAAAATGTAGAGTTGAGCAGCAGTAAAAAGAGTATATACATCAAAAGTAAAATGTAAAATAAAAAGTACAATAGAGTTTAACAGTAAAATGTGTAGAGTTAAGCACTAATTGAAAAAAGGTATATAGATAAACAGTCAAGTGTAACGATTAGCAGTAAAATTCCTTATACAGTAAAACCTCATTAACTCAAAATCCCCTAAGAAGATCAACAGGTTAGTACGAAAAATATGTTGGTTACATCAGAGTTGTATTATTGTTGTTAATTACTGGTTAGCGCAATTCATTTTATTTTTACACAAACTCAATTTTCTGTCCCAATGAATTCATGTTCTTCTTCATGTTCACCATCCGCAAATGCCATGCTGGGTGACAGTTTTGATTGTTCGTCTACTTCTGAAATTGTTGTTCTAGAACTTGAGTTGTGTGTGCATATTCTTTTTTTTTTTACAGATCTGGCTTATTTTTAAGCAGACTGTTGGCTCCTCATTTTTCATGAGGGAAACTCACACAGGCATACAGACAAAACACTGCTGTTTTGATCCAGCAGCTAATTTAGCAGGTTTTATTCCAAACATTTTGATGTTACCTTTCCTTTGGAGTAAATAAGGCAGGCCGAGGATGAGGAATCTTGGAAAACACATGGTCTCTACAATGCTGCCTTGAATGTTTTGGAGATGATAATTTCATCCATGGCCATAACTGCTAGTCACCAGGGACCGTTTGCACCTTTATGCTCACTGGTTGTTAAACTCCAGCAGAAAGTTCTGGTTGTTCATCCACTTCTGGACGTTAGTCTTGCTCCAGAACTTGAGTTTTGCATGCACATCCGTTTTGAATATATGTCTTATTTTTATGCAGACTTTTGGTTCCTTGCATCTCTGGTAGATGCACTCTGGTTTTGAAGTAAGCCCCTAATTAATCGACTCCTATGACATGCTTGTTAGGAAGGCAGTGGGTCTTTTCTCCCCCGTCTCACACAATGGGGCCCTGGAGCTCACACAGGGAGCTATGGCCTGTGATTCCCACGTCTCCATTCAACACAATGGCTCTCAACCTTTGGGTCGCGACCCTGTTTTGGGGGTCAAACAATCATTACACAGGGGACGCTCAAGACCAGAGGAAAGCACATATCCACAGAAGTAATGAAGTAGCAACACAAATAATTGTATGGCGGTTGGGGGGGTCACCACGCCATAAGGAACGTATGAAAGGGTCGCAACATTAGGAAGTTTGAGAACCCACTTATATAGACCATTATAACACTATCATCTGGACAGATGGAGATTGAAAAGTACCAGTAAGAAGCTTGCACACATAATGATGACTTGCAAACATGGTGTTGAAAAAGCACAAAAACAAAGGGAGAAATACCTGGATGGTTTTGTCACTTGACATATCTGAGGCCACAGTATGGACCTGATCCCTGACTGAGATTGTGCAAGATGGCAAACTATAACCATCAACGCCTACCAATATGGCACATGATAGTAATGATGATGATGAGGATGATGATAATGATAAGGATGATGATGATGATGATGACAATGATAATTATGATGATAATGATGATAATGATGATGATGATGATGACGATAATGATGAGGAAGATGATGAGGATGATGGTGATGATGATGATAATGATGATGAGGATGATGATGATAATGATGAGGATGGTGTTTTATGGCTTGCTCCCAAAAATTCTTCTCAGTATCGTACATTGGAACGGATTTGTTTGTATCACATCATATTGTTTTGTGTAGATAATAAACATAATGAAAATAACAAAAAAACAAAAAAAGAAGCTCATGAAAAAAATATGTAACTGCTGAGATAAGGCATTCACGTATATTGGGTTATAGTTATGGTAAGAGATGACATTCTATTTGAGATAAAACCATATTATAAATTTGCGAACAAAGTCTAATAACAAATTTGTTGCACCTATCAAAGAATCAAACAGCCAATAATGGAGGGTGAGAAACAATTAAAGTTCAGTCTTTTTAAAACATTGCTGATAACTAGCATCATGGAAGGCAAATAGATTACAATCCTTGGGGCATATAATGAGAATAACAGAGTGACACAAAAAATTAGTTTACTCAGAGGAGTTAATAGTTGACCATGAAACAAACCAGAGAGCTTGTGGAGAGATAATATCCAGGAAGACCTAAAACTTGGAGTCACCAGCAACTGGGAAAAAAAAAAAAAAACAACCAAGGCCACCCAGAGAGATGAATGGAGGTGAGAGATATCTTCAGCAATGTACCTCAAGAGTTTGGAATATTGACGAAGAAATGATGAAACTTATATAGATACATACATGTGTTTAAATATATTTTGATATTCTATGTTGAAACAACATAATTTTGTACAATTGATTTAAATTAAGCTTAATGATTATTTTCTATCATAAGACAATAGATTAATTTTTTTAAAGTATCCAGAAACCATGAGTTGTAAACCCTTCGACTCGGTACTATGGATATCGCAACCCTTCGGCCTTGATTCCATTATAGGAACCGTTAATCTGGGAGAAATGTGGCTTTTCTGCCTACCCCCGGGAGTGAACCCGGGCCACAAGGAGTTCGTCACCTGGCCGCCGTGAAAGTCAGGTTTGAACCAACTACGCTAGAGAGCCGGGCCAATAGATTGATAGATTCAAGGCTATGTCAAGTGCTGTTATGTCCAATTATGGTATTAAATGCACAGATAATCTGTTTACAGATATCCAGGTCTGGTTATATATTTTATAATGATATCAAATTTTGAGGTAAAACAGTTATACATAATTATAACTAATTATTTTCAATGGCATTAAATGCAGAGATAATACTAGGGGAAGTAAACAAGTAAGATACAAATGGTTAGGGAATGGCAAGAACATGTAGTTGGTGGTTTCTAAAGGTGTCATTAGGTGACGGCTACATCGATCTTTTGCTCCGTTTGTTTGGTGACACCAGGTGTTGCATGTGCATGCTCAAGACACAAATAAAATGGTGACTGTACTTACGGAGTGTACCCTCAAAGAACAATGTGCTGTTGTGCGTTTTGTTTTTGTTAGGGTTGTCTAATGTATGCACTGTGGCATCCACATATGACAGCTATTTTGCATAATCAATCAATTCAATATATTTAAAATCAATGCAAGTCTATACCTACACTATACACATAATTGTTTCATTCTGGGATGAAAATGAGAGTTTGTGACCTTTCTATGTACTCTCCCACCTTAAGTCTACAGTGTCTGTTGTTATTCAAAAAATTGTAGTGCAGTCCCTTCTGTTTAGTCAGTCAACTGGGTCCCCTGGATGTTTGCTGTTCGTTCTCTATCACCAGGTGTTCCAACCCTTTCAAATATGATTTTAATATTAAAAGATTATCCTTGCTCTATCTGAGGCGTCTGTGGCGTGGAAGTTGCGAGTCTGACTCGTAGTTCCAACGTATCACAATCGAAACCCACTGCTGGCTGCGTGGATGTTTTATCATGGTATGGGGCGCCGCAGGTCGATCCAGCCTAAAATGGGTACCAGGATGTATGTCATGAGGAAGCAAAGAAGGCCGGTGTAATGATGACCACATTGACCACCTAGTACTGATTGGTCTGTAAAAATACGGGTGCTCTTTCCATATGCCCGATGCACACAAAGGCGTAAAATAAGATCTTTACTTTTTTTTTAAAACTTTACCTTACTGAAAGACAAATAATAAAACATCCCCGTAGAGGCAGAGACCACAACTGAGTATTAAAACTTAACTATTAAATCGAGAGTCAAAAACGAATTAGAATAATACTTATTTTGGTACCAACAAGCACACTTGATTATGTCACTTGGTTTTTCACAAAATCCAGGTTGGAGTAATAAGAAGTGTTGACAGTTTTAATTCCCAAATACTCATCCCTGGTGTTGTTAAAGATTTTCTCCTCAAGGCATCCTATGACAACACGATCCCAGTCCAAGAAAAATTTGTTAGCGATCATTTCCTTGGCCTGGCCCAGTAATGGCAGATCACCTGAGGGAGATCAAATTCAGCAGTTTTTAAAAGGCACAACCATAAGGAAAAGACACTTGCAATTTATGGGAGATATCTGCTTCTTCTTCTTCTCATTCTGTATTCACTAGAGCAGCGGTTCTCAACCTATGGGTCGTGACCCTTTTTAGGGTGGAACGACCCTTTTACATGGGTCGCCAAAGACCATCGCAAAACACAAATTCATTTAAGTTATGAAGTGGCGACAAAACTAACTCCATGGTTAGGGGGTCACTATAATTTGAGGAACTGTATTATAGGGTCGCGTCATTAGGAAGTTTGAGAACCACTGTACTAGAGGAAGGGAGATTGTATTATTGTATTGTGGTTCACATGTAGGATACGATATTTGTGCATTTTGGCCCAGCACATCCCACATCAGCAAACATATCATTAGTCACATTTTGCAACATTCTTGGACGGGGAGGAGGAGAATAGACACCCCCCCCCCCTTCCCCCGACTTAGAGGAGGAGGAGGATAAGGAGGAGGAGTAGACGAAGAAGAAGAAAAAAGGAAGAAAAAGAAGAAGGTATAGGAGGAGGAGGAGACGAAGAAGAAGAGGAAGGAGGAGGAGAAGCAGCAGCAGCAGAAGAAGAAGGAGAAGCAGCAGCAGAAGAAGAAGAAGGAGAAGCAACAGCAGCAGAAGAAGAAGGAGAAGCAGCAGCAGAAGAAGAAGATGAAGAAGAGGAGGAGAAGAAGAAGAAGAAAAACAACAACAACCATCACTGCAACAACAACAAGATGTTATACTGTCTAATAATCTACATTTGGAGCCATTCTACATCCACTTTGGTACAATGTGCAATGTATTTTCCAGCTTGCATTATAACCCTGGACACTGAGGGCTGAATGGTGGATACATATAAACAGCTAGCAACATAAGTCAAATCGGCTTCCAATGGCATATATATGTTTGTGTGTGTATATGTATATATATGTATACACACACACATACATATGTTATTCGCCGCTTCTGTTTGTTTTCCCTGGCAATAGTTTTCACATAAAAAGGCCACACACCCCTATGAAGTATGTGGTGCCACCTAGTTCCTCCCCTGATCTATACAACTTGGTTTCCACCCAGAATGCCAGTTGGGCAGATCTGGCATCTCTCTGCTGCATGTAGAGATCACGCCTGAAGCTCACATTCGGCATTCTGTGGTGCCTTGTCCATGTCCACATGGGAAACCTGTTCGCATGGGCAACCTGTCCACATGGACAACCTGTTCACATGGACAACCTGTCCACATGGACAACCTGTTCACATGGACAACCTGTCCACATGGACAAACTTCTGAGTGTCCAAACTTGACTTTTGTGTACACATGGCTTCATAGTATGTTGTACTCAATCGGATTTCTAATGCTTGAATTTTTTTTTAAAGTTCAGCTATTAATAATAGTAATAAGGTCCACGCTTCACAGCCATATGTAAATGTTCTAATAGCTAGCTAGTGCTCTGAGCAATTGAATTTTAGTTTTTAGGCTAATATTTGGCATTATCTATAGCGTACGATAAAGATGTTTGCTAGGAATCTTGACCGAATGTTCCGCAAAACCAAAACTGAAAATGCTGGGGCATGAGAAGGGTTCTTATTAGTTACAGGTTGAGTTATCCTCGAGGCATTCCGGACAGGTCTATGGGCTGAGATTTCTTCTTCCACAACATTAGCCTCTCATGAGTAATAGTTCTAAACCTATGCTGGTTTATAAGACGTCTCGTATGTCCAGTGTGTCTCTTATGCCTGGCTGTACAGACCTTCACTTGTAATTTGTGCATCTCAGCAGTGATAAGGATGCCCTGCTCTCAAAATCTTCCAACTGACCTCTCTCTAAGGGTCAGAGGTGAGCTAGAGCAGTGATCTTCAACTGGGAGGAAAGTCCAGTTAGGGCGTCAAAATTTCTGCCTTATCGAGAAAAAGGGAATCCTATATTTTTTTTTAATTCTTTCTTTTCTTTTTTAGGTTTTCAGTATGTAGGATTACCACTTCACATATGGGAATCAAAAGATGTCACATGGACTGAAAATCAAAATTTTGTGATATCCTATTTGATAAATAAACTGCTTTCTTTATTTGTGTTTGTTTCTGTACTCAGTAAGCTGTCAGGTGGGCCACCAAACAATGTCCCTTGTTTTGCTGGGCAACGGTGCTCACAGGCTGAGGAACACTGAGCTAGAGGGTATCATAAAGATTACAAGAGCTTGAACTTTCCCACATGATTTGACCCAAATCAAAGTCTCACCTGGAGACTAGTCAATATACAAGTTAGAGCAGCAATTACCTGTTGTAAGAATACACACATTTCTAAAGTATCTCCCAGAACAGGGAGGAATCACTGAGTTAGAAGGTGTCCCCTTAAAGAGAGCACAAGAGCTTGAACTTTCTCACATGTCATTGACCCATATCAAAGTCCAACCTAGAGACTAGTCAATATACAAGTTTGAGCAGCAGTTTAGTTACCTGTTGTAAGGATACAAACATCTCTAACGTATTTCCCAGCACAGGGGATTGGGTCCCATTCCCAGACTTTGTAGCGTGCTAGGAAGGGTCTCGTTGCTGAGTGTTCAGGCTCACCTGGAGATGATTTCAAAAGCAACATTATTTGCCAGTTAAATGAAATGAATACTCAGTGTCCCTTTCCATTAGCATAAATAACCATTCAGGGGCATCAAGACAAATAAAACATTTGAGAAGGGGAGTGGTGTTCCACCAGGGAGCTTAGTTCCGGGTAGTTAGCGGCATTTGGATATTTTATCCAAAATGGTAAACAAGCAGGCTGATAGGCTAGTCGGTTCGGCATCACTAGGTGGTGAAATGATGTATGATAAGCTAATTGTTTTGAGGGCTCTTTGGAAGCATGTGAACAGTGTAGATGCACAAAAGAATCATTACGGTCTGCAGAAAATGGCAAAGCGGGCAGTGACCCCCAGGGGTGGGGGAGGGAGGGGGAGCAAAAAAAAAAAAAAAAGTGAAACGGATGTACAATCAGTTACTGGTACCCTCGGAATTGGAACTTTTAGCTTGCTGCTGAAAATGGGGGACGGAGAGCTTATGGAAGTGTCTCGAGTGCTGTCATATCGATTCTCAATTCAGCATTCAACAATCAACTCCTCAAAGAGCTTAAGCCTTGTTGTAGTATGCAGTATTAATACCTATTTGAAACGTAGACAAATACGCATGTAAAAAATGGTTACAAATAA